GTAGTAGTAGTAGTAGTAGTAGTAGTAGTAGTAGTAGTAGTAGTAGTAGCTGCTGAAGCAGCAGTAGCAGTAGCAGTGGCAATTGCAGTAGCAGTAGCAGTGACTCAACCTTGTAGGGAACAGGTTCGCCAACAAAGTTGAACCACAACCTCACGTTCGTAGGTTTCTCCGGAGGCAAAATTGCTGCACATGTGTGTCGTAGGTTCACGCTGTGGAAACGTAGGCGAACTGTAGACTTGGCCGTAGGCACCCTTCAATGATAATAGCCTTTATGTTAAAAAGAACATTGCTCAATTGGGCTGTTTTTTGGAAAATCGCAGAAACACCCGCTTTTAGCCCCCACCACACTCTGGGCAGAACTTCTTTCTGTTATGCAGATGGCATCCGGCTGCACTTGAGGCATGAAGCGCACGGCAAAGGACACAGGAAGCCAGGGCCCCATGCAGAGGGATCCAGGGCGACAGGACGCTTGCAAGGAAGAAGGACAGTTCGCATGACCGGATGTGTGATGTATGGAGGATTGCCATGTGAAGCTGACAGGATGCACCACGGCACGACGGGTCATGGCAACGACTCATGTGAGCCGTTGCCATTGGCCGAAGTACTCCTGGAGTGAAGAGCTTTTGTGAGAGGTTGTGCCCGTTTGTCATGTAGAACAAGAAACTCAGACATTTGGTTATATATCCAGGCCAAGCCTCCAGTTTGGTGAGACGAACCCCGGCCAATCTATGCAGCTATAGATGTAGCTATAGTGACTTTGAACCTTGCTCCATAGAATTGTTATATTGTTTAAAGTCAAATTGGTTGACTTAAGTTGACATATATGCTGCAGAAGAATTCCATTGTTTGCCAACACCCCGGCACGAGCAACGCGGCACCTGCGCCATCCACCAATCGTTTGGGGCGAACCTGACGAGGCCCTGCCCTTTCGATGGGGCACCGATCGCAAGGGTGGACTCCAATGACTTGCTGCAGAAGAAGGTGCCGGCTGAGACTGCGGCAGGGCGGCGGTTTGGAGGGACACCGGGTGCATGGCACAGGCACAGAGCTGCAGCTGGTTTGAGGTCATGAGTTAGGTTAGATCATGCCGATACTCCCCTGCAGATTAACATGGAACATCATGGACCCCCAAAACCTCTAGTGGTAGTGAGTGGTAGAGGAAAATGGTCGTCCACCGGTCAATTCTCAGGTTCCATGGAATTCTTTGCAGGGCCTATTCATTGATCAGTCGCATTGGTGTCACGGATCGGTGGCGCCTTGGCGCGGAATCCGGTCGACCAACGATGGATGAGACGGAACCGACGGAAGGGACGGAGAACTTGTCGTTCGCTGGCGCGAAGGACGTGGGGTTTCCGGAAGAAGACGACGTTCTTCTGCAGGATGGATGTGAAGTCTAGACACTTACAGTATACAGTCTAGACTTCGACGCCCATAGTTTTTGACACTTTTTGGACAGGTAGGTATTATAGCTGATGACATGTTTTTGACATGTTTTGACCAGGGACGGTGGACGCTCCCCTTTCCGAAAGGGCGGTTGCGGCGGTTGAGTCTTTGTCAGGTGGTGCCTCCGGAGCCTTTGCCTGTCAGCGGGGCCTTCAGAGAACTGCTGGAACAGGTTGTGTCCCAGGAAGGCCTCCTCAGAAGAAAGAGCAGCAGGGATGAGCTGAACTCCCGTGAGAGAATTGAGAGAAGTGTTGGTCGAAATATGTCGAAATAGATGAAAGACTCTTGGTGAATATCCCACCCATGTGAAGATGCTGTTCAATCATGTTCAATCCAATTTCTTTTGGGGATCCAACTCGCTCTTGCCGGATGCTTTTTTTGCGGCAACAAGCTGCTCAGGTGGTCATTTCACTGTCGGGAAAGCTTTGGCAGCTTTGGGATCAGACTTCGCACCTGTTGTCATGTATCTGGCAAAAATTTGATGACACCCAGCCAAAAGAGGCGACGCCTCATGCACAACGTGACGTCCTAATCCCCTTGGGTCAATCGTAGCCCTGAGGTGGCAAAGACGAACTCCTCATCATGAGAGAGCGGCCCTCAGATCGAAGTGACGAGTCGGTGCGGAGCACCGCGGCAGAGGCACCGATCTGGTGAGCACGACTGGACACGAGGGATCAGGTTCATCCCAAGGCTCTCTACCAGACTTAGGTTGTTAGCGATATCTAGTGATAATCCTAAGCAAGGATATTGGCTCAGTTGGACTCGAGAAGAAAAGGACGCCAAGGCTTGGCAGAATGATCATACATCATCATACATCTATTTCGTATCATACATTTACCGTATGTCTTGAAACATAGAGGAACCCCCCAAACCACCAAAACCACCCCAACTCTGATCGGCATGGCATATATGGCAGTCCGGATCGTCGTGCCTGGGTACATCTATTTCTTGAGCCCTCGATGCCAGGAGCCCCGTTCGTAGCGTCCATGGCCCTTTGCCCTTTGTCTATGCCATCCAACAGAGGTGGAACGTGACCGTAAATAGGACCCTACTGGGGCACCGAACTGGGATAGTCGAACAGTCGGGTTCTTCAACCTTTGCTGGATCCGTTTCGCGTCTTCGACGCCGCACGCGCACGGCGTCTTCGGCCGCTCTGAGGTCATGGACGGCAAACAGACGGACTGGGCGAGGGCTCGTTTGGGCACTCGGAGTTCCACGGTTGGTTCGGCCGAAGGGCTCGGACGAGGCACTAGTGTGACCCGGCAGTTAGGCAGACAGCTGAAGCTAAGTCACTGGTGGCCACAAGTCCTAAGTCACCGGTCCCCAGTATACGCTTTATATCCTTCCAAGTCCAAGATGTTCACTAGATCTTATCTCGTACCTTTCCCCTTCTTATCTGATCCATTCTGCTCTAAACTGTGACATGCAGACCTTGATTTTCACGTGCCCCCCCTCCCCCACACAACCAATGCCACGGCTGGAAGAGATTGCAGTTCCAGGCGCTGGGCTCATTGGTTCACCAAGTCCTATCGAGTCGTATCGAGTCGTATTCACCCCGGTGTCTACCACTGGAAGCGGTGGAAGCACGAGGACCCGGTGGAAGCGAGACGTCGAAGACCAGATGATAAACACCCCGGCTTTTCCCACGGGGTAAAGACCTGCTCGAGGGTTTTGTTCCTTTGGTGAAAGTAGTTGGGTGAAAGAAAGAGTTTGAGTCATCCTTTCACCGGCTCAGCCCGGACCATGGCCGCCTTGGAGCTTTGCCCATCCAGGGACAGAAGGAGAGAAAGAGAGAAAGAGAGAAAGTGTGAAAAGTAAAGCTCCAAATTTAAGCGTATAACCATAAAAGTTAGTGAATTCAAAAGGTTTCAATCCCAAAACATCCAACAACTAGCACCTCAGCCTAACTGGTGTGGACTTCGGACGACTTCGGATGACAACATGAGGCTCCGCCTCTCTCCAGACCGCTCGACCCGTCCCCATGGTCCGGCCAGGTCGAGCCGCTGAACACATCCGCAGTGCGAACTACAACACCAAGGAAGGGGTGACGTCAGACGGTGAGTCCGCAAACTCTGGTGGAACAGCGGAAGTTGAGGGGCTGTGCATGGAACAGTGGAACCTCCCCTCTGGGTCTCGGAATGTCTTCGTTCGGGGCTCCGCCGGAACAAGGAACAACGGGGGGGACATGGTGCAAGGAGGAAAGGCAGCTTTTTAGGATTTCGAGATCATGAGAGTCCAAAGCCCGGAGCGTCAAACAGCTTCCAGGTAAAGACAAGCAACTCTGTGGAACGAAGACGAAGCAACTCTGTGGAACCTTCACATCGGCAACCGTGGAGACCAACAAATCGGGTCCGAAGAAGGGGGCAGGCGGCGCCAGGCGGCGCCAGGATTTTTGTGTTGGATGTTTTTTGTTTTTTGTGCGAGGACTTCTATGAGGACTTGGTGGCCGCGTTTCCAGAGCTGCGACTCTATTGTGCCCGGTGCCTCAGAGCTGAGCTTCGCCTCAGAGCTGGCACCAGACATGGATGCTTAGGGACAGAAGCGGAGACTTCGAACCTGCTTGGTACTGAGACATGCTTGGTCCTGTCTTTATGGAGCTTTTGAATCCCACTCCTCCTCCCATTTTGGGGCCACCGACTGGCTGGTGGCTGGTGGCCTCGCAGGTGGTGCGCGAGAACGGCGGCCATGGCGTGCTATTGCCCTCCTTGTCGACCTTGACCACCTCGGCGAGCCGGACAGGTGGGTGATGGGTGAGCAACGGGGTCCAAACGGACGCAACACGAAGGAAGGGCCGGAGCTGGGTGAAGGACTGGGAAGGGTCTCCCGTGATTTTGGCTGGTTTGTTTTGGGGGGTTGCCATTGGTGTCATTGTATTATAGGTGGTACATGGTTGTACCATGTTGCACATCTCCTTCAAGCTAAGCAGCTAGGTATTGTACTGTAAGTTCAACATTTATTGATTATCTTTCCCGTGCTGTGTCTATTATAATGATATACATGCAACACATGTTTGGGAGATGACTCGGATGACATTCATGATTTTCTCAGGCGTTCCACGCGTGTTTTCCGAGAGTGAAGAAGATAGAATCCAGAAGATACATGAGACATGCAAGAAGCGATCTTCTTAACATATGGCTGCGTTGAGTTGAAATCACACAGGCTGGGGCAGAGAGGAGCTCGTACAGGGTGTGTTTTTCAGCAGGCCACCCTTCTCCCCACACCACCGGCAAATGCTGGGCGGAGATTCCTCGCCTAAGCACCGAACGGTGAGGTGAAGATGAATATCAGCGCACCATTGGAGCGCTGTTTTGCATCTTCTGGCTGATGCGGACCCACCTGGACGGCAAGGCCGGTGCAGCTGAGACTGATGTGATGATACATACCACGGACGAGCTGAGTGGTTCAACCATGAACGGGTCGCATTCGGTGACTCCAGCGACGAAGGTAAGGTCACCTGACCTAGTACAGATGTGACGCTTCACGGGGGTTGGATGGTGGGACATGGTAGGATCTGAATGGACCTGACGCAAAACCAAGGGCCACAATGAGCTCTCTCAAATGGATGGGTGACACGATGAGAGAATGAAAATACTTGTGCTTCGTCCGGTTGGTCGGCTTGGGACAGGGAGGCCGGGGGGGGGGGGGGAAGGTCTCTGCCAGACCTCGCGGGGCTCGGGTGGTCGTAGCTGAGTGACTTGGGCAGACCATGCTTGGGCATTGGAGTCCAAGGAGTCAGCTGTCGGTGAGTACTGAGTCAGCCTGGGCAGGAGTCCTTCTGCTTCGGCCTGGATGATGACTGGAGGCCTCGAAATAAGACGCACTTCAAGGACGGGGTCTGGCGATTGGGGTGCCATGGCATGGCTCGCACGAACCACTGGATAGCAATAACAAGATATAACTACAAGATACTACAAGAAACATGACAGCAATCTCTTCCCCATTTCTTCAAACCTGTACTTCCATACTTCCAGTTTTCTTGTCCGCTTTTTCACAGGATCCCGAGCTGGAGGCGCTTTTTTCCTTCGCGTATCTTTTGCTGGGGGGTGAAATTCGGTTCGATTCGTTTAGTGTTCTTCTTGATGCTTTCTGAAAAACTTTGCTTTGGGTTTGATATGGTTTGATCCTTCACCACTACTCCGTCTAATGTGAAGCAGGCGGAGTACAAGAAGCGGAAGCTCTTCTATGAGAAGACAGACTGGGCCGCCATCGAAGCGCTTTTCGTCTTGGGCCCCAGCGCTTCCGCGTCTTGGGCCACCCAGATCAAGTGAACACGTCTTCGACGCATTTGACGCACCGGACGCTGGTCGTGTGAAAGTGAATCGGGATGGCTCTACAGATGTACCAGCACATGACCTGTGTGGATGTCTCGGTGCAGATTGGTACTATTGAAGACCCTCCCACCGTGGTGACGTCCCGGTCCGTCCAGTAGCAGCCGGTGGCTCCCAACCGGCTCCTTGTTGCACCAAGGTTGGAGCAGGTTTGCTTCACAAGGAGCGGAGACGGCTGGGGTGGGAGCCAGGAACAGAGGTATTTGCTGCAAGACAGCGGGTGAGGAGACTCAGACGGCGAAAGATTTGCTTCAGTCAGGTTGATCTTCCTTTAGTGGCTTTCGCACTTGCAGAATGAACCTCCGCATTTGGCCAACATGGTTGAACTAAGCATAGGCAGGAACGAAAGCGATGTGCTGTTTTAAGGCCTCCATTTTTGTACCTCTTTGTTTCCGCTCGGTCGCGGACGGCGCGAACTCCGCAGGCGGGTGGCGCGCATGATATAGACAGGACCTTGGCCATGTCGGTGGCTCAGGAGAGTAGGAGTCAATGAAGCTTAGGAGTGGCTCACGTTAAAGGAGAGATGGAGCGCGCTCCTTCGCGCCAGTGATTTGGAGTTCAAGAGACTCGGGATTTGTGGCTTGTCGTGTATGGTCCGTATGGCTCACAGGGCGTTGCATCTGTGTTTGGAAGCCAGCATCTGCCAGCATCAACCCGGTCCAGAGGTGAAGAGTGATAAGAATCAACCTTTGAACATGTTCAATGCTTTGAGGGACTCAGCTAGTGCCGCTGACCTTTTGAGGCTAGTGCTCATGACCATTCACGATGTCATGAAGCTCGACATCCTGCGGCCCACCGTTGGCTGCGGCGAGTGGGGGACCACCAGACCGTCACGCGGGGAGGTCGACACCCAGCTTCACCAAATCCAGTGAGGTCCCTTGCGCATACACCCCAGGTGCTCCCCTATTTAGAATCCAATAATCCATGACTTTGGACCCCTGAGAACGAGAAATCTGTTCTGATGTCTTTTCAAGCCGTGGGGTCGGAGCTCCGATCGATCGAGGCAGTTCTTCAGCAGCCACGCTTAATACATAGAGGGTTCCTCTTGGAGGTCTGATTGAACCCTCGCAGACTGATATAGACTATGGGAGGAGCATTCCCCTCTACAAGACCAATGTTTTTAGGTTCTATTTTAGTCTGCACGGGTGCATATTGTACCTATTTCCTGTAGATTCATATTGGTACATTTCCCGGGCAGCAACAAATGGACGACTCACGGTGATGAGCCCGTTCAGTTGCAGATGGAAGGCCACGGGCATTCCACCGCAGAGGCTTGATACTGCAATGAGACCCTGCACTTCCTGGACTCACCAACCGTTGCCAATGATGCTGTGTTTCCGAAGCCGAGACCCCACACCAGGCATCAAAAGCCTCCGCATATAGATCATCCTTGAGCCCAGGAACGCCATGCGTGAGGTGACGACGCGGAACGGCGTAGCTCCGCCACCGCTCGGCTGAGGTTCAGTGGCTATCGCAATGGGGAGCCCATCGGCGATCATGACCTGGCCTTGAGCTATGTGCCATGGCCAGGGGACGTGGCTTTTTGAAACGAAAAAGTCCCTGAAATCATCACGGTAACAGTGGAGTGAAAACCATCTGTTTGTAGCGGAACATGGCCCAAGAAAGGGGCAATTGTCCGCTTCCATTCCGGGGAGTGTAAAGAGATGTAAAGAGTTTGTAGATCAAGCAGATGAAGCCCTGTTGGGGGAAGAAGGCCTTTTTCGGGAAGGAACGTGGACCCGGTAGGTCAATAACTGGGATCGCAAAGCTATATGTGGTTGCTGTACGGGTATAAGTTTGTTCCTGACCGTTGGTCAGTTGTTTTTGTTTTTTGAATCTTTGTTCTTATAATTCTTTAAATATGATATGTGTATGTTTGTGTTTGTGCGGGGCTTTCGTTCTTCCTTTCCACTTTCAGCCAGTTGATCAGTTTCGCTTTCCAGACCTGCCACGACCCTGAAGGTGAGGCGTCCAAACGGTCGCCCCGCCACCTGTCAAGTCCCAACGGTCGCCCGGCCGCACCAGGTACTGGATCGATGTCCACAAGCCTTGCCCTCCTTCGCCGGCTTGGCGCCGGCCATGCAGGAGAGCATCAAGCCCGGGCGCCCGGGCGCGCGCGCGCACGGCGCCTTCGGTGGAGGTCCCGGTGGCCAGCTTCGGCTGACAGACCAGGACATGGCCAACAAAAAGGAGAAGCATGGCAGAAAAACCACACTTGGTTAGCATGTGGTAATGTCTTGGGGTGCAGGTCGTGATGTGAGATTTGGGAGGAAGCTGTTGGACTTCAAGAAGTCCATTGGTTTTTCAGGGTGGTCCAGAATGAGGAAAAACGATAAAGATCAGATGGGTGAAGAAGAAGGCACAGAAGGAGACGAGAGAGCATCTGAACCAACAACAGACCACAGTTTTCTCCGGGATCCTCTCCTTTGTGGCCTTTTCTGTGGGTGCATGCTGGCGCATGCTGGCTGAGGTTCACCCACTGCAAGCTGGACTACAACATGGGTTTGGACACCCAGAAGCGAAGAAGTCAGGTATCGACAGCTTGTCGGTCACCCTCCAAAGAAAAATTACCCGGACACTCCATGGAACTGGCATATTTACCTATACATGAAAACCCCTCTTCAACCACCCCAATGTAAGCAAATGTGGCATACATGGTCCAATGGTGTTTCGGTTATGGTTGGAGGTTGGGACTGTCGCAGGTACCCGTGCCCGGTTGATAGAGTACAGGCAGCCAAAAAACATCAAATTCAGGTGCCTTATAGGCGCCGTATTTTTGTGTGTAGTTGTTGGTGCTTGCACGTTTCTTCCTGAAGAAAGCTCCGAAGGAGAAGACACATGGAGTTTCTGCCAGTGTTTGGTCATTTCACGTCCATTTTCCGCTCTAGCGAGTAATGACGTTTCAACGCTTTTCTAAACTGTTGCTGGCCGTTTTGTTTCCTGACTTCCTTAACTGGGGTGATCGGCTCTCTTTGTGCTCCCCCAAACCCAAATCCAAGTCCATGGCAAGTTCAGAAAAAGGAGGATGATTATAGGTGTGTTCCAGACCTTCTTGCCATTCCATCGTTCCAGGTCCTTCGAAATCGAGTGTTTCCCGTCAGGAACCTCCGACACAGAACCCGGTGGAGCACCGCCTCACACCAGAACAATCAAAACGAACCTTGGGATTTGGTAGTGCACAACTCAAGGGACATCCAAGTCTGCACCTGTCAGCCCTCCAAGCATTTAGGGCAACAGGTGTAGCACATGACCATGACCGAAAATAACTTTCTGAATTTAGTGGGAGGCTAGTTTCCTTCACTTTCAGGGATGAAAAGGGTCATGTTCATCGTGTTCATCCATTGTGTAAGGTCTAATGTTCATGGGAAGGGGTGTGTGTTTCGCGTGCTTGGTGCTCCCACATTGGATCAAACTTGTCGTGCTCACCAAACTTGGGACTCTAATGTGCTTGGCTAGTCCACCCACCCAAGTCCCTGTCCACCCACCCAATTCCCTTCTCTAGGACGACTGGCTGGATGCTTTGCTGAGGCTGGCTGGTCCAGGCAGAAGCACCTCCAGGGGCACGAGGGCCCAGTGAAGCTGGGTGCAGGACTGATGTGGAAGATGGTGGAAGTGGGTGGATGCCGAATGATGTTCCTACCCCCAACAAGAGCTGCCCCTTGTTGTTCAGATCTCAAATACACCTGCATGTTCTTTCGCCTCCCTCCCACACCCTCCCTCGCCCTCCACATGACGCCCTCCCACATGGCGTTCTCCACCGAGCCGAGGCTCTCTTCAAGGCCTTCCGCCAGGTGGTGCTCGCGGGCGCCGCCTCCGACCGGAAATCCGTGCCTTGGAGGGTCGGTGCTTGGAGAGTCGGGGGTGGCTCACCGACATGGGCGGTTTGGGGCGCCACGCGTCACCAAACCGGTCATGATGCACAAGCTTCACAAGTGTCCAAAGGTCATTTTAGCATATTTTAGCTATAGATGCTGTACCTTTGCAGTGAACAACATGTAAATTGCTCCGCTCAGGTGCAGGTGTGAAGGATACTTGAAAGTAATTACCTGTAGACTGTAGATCTTGCTGCTGATTGGACAACGGTAGGAGGTTCCCTATTTGGGAAAAGAATGCACGCTAGATGCGAAGTGTTGACCATGTTGACCGTGGCTCATGTATCCAGATGACACTACCCGCGGTTTGCGGAAATTACGAGGCAATTCCAAAAAAGTCAAGCGGAAAATGCAAACTTCACACACTATCGCATTGTTCCTTTTGTGCAGGAGACTGGCGTTCCCCGGGCTGACCCAATTTGAGCTGGCAACCTTTGCTGGCCTGGCACGTGCCGACCGCGCCAAGGCGAGCGACATCGCTTTCTACTTTGTCCACTGGCCGGGGCCCCACTGGTGAGTCCCAGCACGGCGGGCCATTGACTCCGCTCAGAAAAGACGCGGAGAGATACTAAGCACAGACAGCACCATTTGTCCCTTTCCAAATGGACCTCCTCTATGTATTACTGCACACGTTTTCGGCGCTTCAGACTTACCCCTCTCCCCACCGCAGGGTCCTCGACGACTCGTCAACGCGTCGACTTAAAACGCGGCCACGCCATCGACGGCCGCCGCTCGGGCGAGCGGTGAACGGGATGAGGTTCTCGGACCTGGCGGGGGCGGAAGCCTTCCCATTGCAAGGCTGGCGCTGAACGTGGGTTGGAACGATTGGGTTTGGGCAACGGTGCCGGGATGTGACAGGGAGAGACACAAAGACCGACTTCTTCAGATATGTTCTCTCCAAATTGGTGGTGCTGGGGATGTTCAAAACCTGGTTTTTGGGGGTGTTCAGCCATCAGGCGATGTTTGAGGTGGCGATGTTCATCGTGGATTTCTACCAGCCTCAGACTGCTGTTCCCATGTTCCCTAGGGCCCTAGCTGCCCTAGCTTGGTGACTCTCCTCCAAGCCACATAAATCGAGCACCGGACTCTGGAGCGCCACATGGGCTTCAGGATGTGAAAAGTTTGTCTTGAAGTTCCCTCTGCACGTGGCAGCCTTGGAAAGGACATGAGCGCGAGTTGTCTGATGGATGACAGAGCTGTGAGAAGGATGATGACTACGAAGGGCGAAGGCTCTTGATCTGGGGATGTGTCAAAACCTGGAGCCCTAGTCCACCAGGTCGCGAACGACACCAGGTAGGCCGCAAATTGGAGTTTGGACGCGCCATGCTGGGCCATCGACCTAAGCGGAAAACCCGACAGTCACGACGACACCAAGTCCAGCGCTCGTCGCAGCGGATGGGTCCGAGGTCCTGAGCAGCTTCATCGATTCCTTCGCGGTGGTCCGGCGGCCCAACGGTTCAGGTCCGGTCGGTCGGGTGGGTTGAGTTCAGGTCCGTGGCCGTTTAAAAGGGCGGGCGGCGGGCAGCGAAGTGGCGAAGATCTCCGAAGTGGAGAAGGGCACAAATGGCATCGAGAGGTGCTGGAAATTCATGATGTTTGAGATGGCTGATCGATATAGAGAGAGAGAGAGAAAGAGAGCTTGGTTTGGTTTTGCTGTTGGCAGAGACCTCCAGCAAGCAGGAAAGCAACCAATGAAATACCATGAGATTTTCCCGAGCAGCCTTCCCAATTCCGGTTCCCTTCACTTTCATGGAGCTCAACCTCAGAACCTCCAGGTCACCGAATCCAGCTTTTCCATCACCCCCTGGCCCCCACCATTGGTGTTTTTTCCGGAAGATGTTCCCCATCTCGTCCCTACTGCCACCGGAGCGTTCGCGTTCCACGAACGCACGCGTTCGCACGCACGAAGGGGAGAACGCACCGCTCTGAGGTCTGGAATTTGGGGCCGAAAACCGAAACAGAGGTCTTCGAGGCCCAAGCAGCGAGCCCAAAGCGCTTCCGCGGCCCCCCCGAGCTCAGCGGTTTTGGAGATGGTTTGAGAGCGATGTTTTGTTTCACAGATGTGAACGTCCCAGAGGGTTTGACACACTGTATATCAAGTCCATATACTATATAAATTTGTTTTTGCTCAGTTTGACCCGACCATGCAGCAATGTCCGCCTTTTGCTTTTTGTGCCTGTCGAACTGCATGCCATTTCGCACTTGCACCGGCAGGACTACTTGGTGTGGCGCTGGAACCACATGAGCACCAAGATGGGCACGACACCCTCGGGCACTGGGGCCATCGCTAAGATGCGTCTCGTAGGGGTCGCCCAGTCTGGTCAGACCGCCGGAGGAAGGGTGCCTTCTCAGACCGCGTGGCTTTGTCCATCAAGTCCATCAGCACAAAGTGGGCTTCACATGTGGTGGGTTTGGGTTCATGGGCAAACACCTCCTGATCCAGAGAGGTCATCCCGCGTCAGGTCGTGAGGTCGTCCCATGCAGGACTGAAGAAGCCTGTGCTTCTGCGCCTCAGCTCTTGTTGGGAGCTGAAGATCTCCGTGTTTTCCACCTGGCTCGGTGGATTTGGTGAAGATCCACCATGCCGCATGCGGATCGTGGGTGCTCGGGGTGGATCTATCCGAGTCTTCGCTGGTTTTGTCCTGTTTTTTTTTGGGGATCTCTGATCTGGGTCTCTTCCTGCCCAATTCGATTCGGTCGCAGCGCACGAAACCGCTTCGCGCGCCCGAGCACCCACGGCCCTCGCCGTCGTTGAGGTCTTGATGGCGCAAGGAGATAGCTTGGAGATCATCAGGCGGAGTGGAGACGAAGTCCCGGATCGGCGGATGGAAATGGGCGGGAAATGGAGGATCCTTCCCAAACAAGTAAAGTGTGTTGGTTTAGAGGCCCGGGTGTTCTTGTCGGCTCAGTAGGTTTTGGAGTCTGATGCCTTGAATGACTTGAATGTTGAAGATGTTTCGGGGGGCTGTCCAACCATTTTCCTTCAACATCTTCAACACAGTGTCCGACTCTCACCCAGGACCCCTGTCATAGCCATGTGGTGGCCAGAAAACGCCAAACATCTGCAGGCAGTTTGAGAAGCTGAAGAAGGCAGACTACCAAGTGCTGAGCCAGGAGATTGAGCGGCCTGTGGATCACCGGCCTTGTTAGTGGCCCAATGACAACAAGCATGAAATCCAATACCAAAAGAACCTATGTAACGTAGGATTTTGAACATATTTGAAGGCATTATAGTACGTTGGAATGGCCCGAGCCCCACACTTCGAGTGTGCCAGATTTAGGGGTGAGAATTAGTGAGAATTAGTGAGAAGATATCTCCAACGTTGATGTTTGACACCTTGGTCCACAATTCAATGTTGGGCTCTTGTGGGCATTATACCATCGCCAGCTCTGGTCAACGGCTTGAAACATGCGATGGAAACAACGCAGCGTGGGGAGGGATCCTTTCCTTTAGATCCTTTTTCTTTCCAAAGTGTGCCAAAGCTTGAGGGCTTCGGGCTTTTGCTTTCCTGAGCTAACCACCTTGAGCTGGGCTGCATACTAGCAGAGTTGCAGTATGTTGCAATACCATGTTAGTCAAGGCTAGTCTAATTTTCTACTTGATATGGCCAAGCTAGAGAGAGATACAGAGAGAAAGATCCAGTAAGCATGTTCCAAATACCAATGCTAAAGGGATCCTTATTCCGCACATGTGCACACTCCTTATCAGCTACCATGGTTCCGTGGAAACAGCCCAACTGGTGGAGGAACATGGTCTTCCTGAAGGCGGTCCCATCGGTTTGACGGGTTTCATCCACCAGATCCGTCCCGCTCCGGACGTGAAGCCGGAGGAGCTCGCCATCACCGGCTGCTCCCAGCAGAAGTACAAGCGGGATAGCTGGAAGGAGAATGGGCAGCCGGGGTGAAGACAGGAGTCCGGGCATGTCCGGGTCCCTTGCTCTTGAGTTTAATTTGAAGATATTTCAAGGGGGAATGCTTTGGCACTGTCCCATTACCTTTAGCAGTTGGTAAACAAGGAAATCACTCATGTTTAGAGATTTCGGCCTGCAACTGAACCATGCAAAGGACGGGCTTTTCAGATCTGATCAGATTTGTTTTTCTCGTGCTCTTAGTCTTACAAGTGGCAGCAATTAGGTGCCCAGATCGAGAAGACGACGTTGCAATAGAGACTCTGACGTCCAGCCAGCCCAACACATGCTTGGCATGGGCATGTCAAATGGATTTGTGTGGATACGCTGCACTTCCACTATCATCGTGGCAAACTGGAAGGGAACAGTTTCCCATCTTCTAACCTGGTGTGGCATGCCCGAGATCAAGGAAGTGAACCTCAGGCTTGAACACTCTACTGTAACTCTAAAGATGTCGAGGTGAAGGAAAATTGATCAACTTGTACCAGTTGAAGACCGCGCGTCAAGCATCCAAACATAAGAATCGCTGACAAGGAACGCTAGACTGCAGACTGCATCGTGATAAGTTCACACCACGGATTGGACGAGAGCGGCATGTTCCAGCATCCTGAAGTAGATGGAATATAGCATTGAAAGGGTGGATTTTGGAGCGTTAGAGACTGCAATGCTCCATATGATGAATCTTTAACCATTGTATTTTCACACATCCAGACTCCAGACCTGTCACCTCCATGAGCTCAACTGACCACAACAGCAACGCACGTTCACGCACGTTCACGCACACGCAGGAGGCTGGTGGCCCCGCCATCCTGGTTCGGATGCCGAGGGATTCGGAGGGATTCGGGGATTCGGTGTTTCCAGTTCCAATGACATCGGTTCTTCCCTCACCAGGACCCCACCTTCCTTAGTGAAAGTGGATGGAAGTTGGTACTGAAAAAGACACGCTTCCGTGACGTGTCACTGTTGCTTCCGAACCTTCGGAGCCTGGAATCTGAAGCCTGGATGCCTGGAGCTTCCGCGACTGACGAACATGGTGCTCAGCGATCTCAGTTCGTTCTTGAAGGTTCCCTTCTAGTTTTGGGGGGTCGCATCGCGTTGCTTGTGGGATGAAGACTGGGGCTACGGGAAGCGAATCAAGGATGTGAACTAAGTGCCGGCAGCTCATCAATCGTTCCTTCAACGCAATAGTGCGTCCGACTGCATGGTGACAGAGTGAGAGGGAGAGAGTCTGAATCGGTCAAACATGGCGTCCATGATGTGCGAATCCAAAACAGAAAGTCGAACATTGTTAGCATTGTTAGCTAATTGAAATATGTTGAAGTGACGTGGAGGTGCTGGTGTTGCTTTGCAACTTAAGGATGGGACACCCAGTTTCCAACCCCCTACTGCCTCCAGCTGCTGTCCCCCAGATCCTCCTCCTTAGTCCCTGCCAAAAAGGAGAAACCTTCTCCCCACTCCCGGGGCAACTGCTCCTGGACGTACCCGTCGAGGTGTACTATGCCCCGGCGCTGATGCAGAAAGCCGGTCGAGAGGAGAACGCCGTCGGGCGAAGGGATGGGTGTGCCCTTCGGTGCGCGGGAAAAAAGGTTCGGGTTCGAGAGATGGTTCAATGTTGACCTGCAAAAATGGTGCGCATCCAAAGTTTGTTTAATGGAACTTCCATCAACCTTGTGGAACCTCCATGAGCCTTGTGGCTCCATTCAGCATCATTCATCTATGGAGTGCCTTGTCGCTACAAAAAAAGTGGACCTTGATCACTCAGGCGTGGCGGGAGACACAGTCCAAGTCATGAGTGGCAGTGGAAGTGTCATGAAACATATTCTTTGTTATACATTCAGCCAATCAGCTTCCACTGAAAATCCAGGAGTGCTCAACACTTTGGTCTTAAGTTTGTAGATGTGGATGTTTGTGTGTCAGGATGGCTTTACCAGGTGTAATTATGTTATTCATTCTAGAGTCATAGTCGTAACGTGTCGCCCATTGTCCATGTGGGTGTGAAGCACTACGTATCCCTTTACCTCCATGCCACTGAACGTGCACCGAAAACAGTGTCCTTGCGCCCCAGACGGGCTCAAACTTCAGCGAACTTCTTGTTCTGCTTATACCATCTAATCTATCCTCCTGATTCCGAACCCTGGCCAAGCTAGCCACCTTTGGCGCTCGTCGGCCGCCCGTCTGCCGCCGCCCGTCGTCGTCGGCCGCCCGAGTAGTGGCGGGTCGATCGAGGCCGACCTGACCGCGCCAGGATCCCTTCAGTGCGATGACCATCTTGGCCGAGATTTTCCGCCAAGCACGCTCACTCTGGCCGCTGTAGGGGGCTCATGGGGGCTCAGCAGAGCGAAAGAGTTGATGATGATCAATGATGATGATGATGATGACGACGAGGATGATGATGATGATGATGATGATGATGATGATGATGATGATGATGATGATGATGATGATGATGATGATGCCTTGCCATCCTGGGTAGATGGATTGCAAGGCAGGTTGCTGGAAAACCATCGGCTTTCCACGCCTAAATTGGAGCGACCATCCCGCCCAAGCGTGACTTTTTGGTCCGCACTGTGTCCCAAAAGTGCCATCTCATCACCATGACTCCTGAACCAGGCACCGTGAGTCCTCCCCTCGATTCTCGGCGTGCGACGATGGGCGACCATGGGCGAACCGTGCTGAGGTCCAACAAGCCGGAGGAGTGTGACAAGTGCGTCATGGCCGGGCCACCGAGACAATCAAGGCGGTCATGAGCGTTTTGAGGCCCATCGGCCTTCCAGATGGGCCAAGAAGGGGACTGACTGATGAGCTTTTGATGGCCTGACTGAGCAGGACCGGTTCGGGATCCATCAGTCTTTGTGCCGAACGAAGGTGGACATATAAATATATAAAATACATTATATAATTATATATTATAGTTATTATATATAATACATAAGATATATATATATATAACACACTATATATATATATATATATTGTACAATATACTTTCGCTGGCCCGACGCAGTCCAAGACCGCTTTCGACGGGTACCGCCGTACGGTTTTGGGGTCCGACTTTCGACGGGTCCTCCGAGACCACTCCAAAGATCCCAGTGCAAATGGACTAGCTGGCGTTGTTGGTTTACTTGTTGCTAGAGGGAAGGGATGATCATCTTACTCAGTCGCTCAGTGAACTTGATATATCTTAACACATTGCTAGCAGTTTGACGTTACCACGCTGTGCATTGCTTTGGCGTCCCCTCCCAGAAGTCCTGGCCCTAGGTCCGGGCCTCGCAACATCTCGCAACGGTCGCCACCTTTCTTCTCGGTCGCCTGCCGCCAGCTGGGGCCGAGCTGAGGTTCGAATTGATGTCCTCAAGGAGCTCCAGGCCGAGTCCCGACTGTGGTGGTCGCTTCGTGGCTCACCGGAGGGTCGTCCCTTTAACTCACCGGCTTGCTCTGATGAGAGAGCGAGAAGCAAAAAGCACTCCTTCCTACATGCGAACGAGCTGCTTACAGTGGATTCAGAAGGGATGACAGAAATCTCATATCTGATTGGGATAGTTGTTTGGGACACCTTTGACGTCAACCCCTCCAACACCAAGCTGGGTGGTGTATTTGACTAGCTGACTCTCTGATTGTTCATGTCATTCTGTGCTTACAAACATCGACGCCGAATCTGCGGATTCGGCCATCAGATCTCTACGATTGTGGACCCTCGACCTGGCATCCACTATGTGCTCTCTCGGGTTGGGCCTCAGATGAGACGGAGGGTAGGGGGCAACTGTAGAGGAGCGGTGGACGCAAGATGAAAGATGAAAAGAGCGCCACCTTTTGGATGGCTTTGTAATGGTGATCATATAAGCAGGCGGCGATTTCTTAGAAGAGGTTGTATGTCTTTCCCTTCCGCAAGTCTGACTCTTCCTTTTTGCGCAGGTATAGCCACTATCCCCTCTTTATAGTTGCAGGATTTGAATTGGGCAGCTTGTCCTGAGGTCAGCACACAGGATGCGCAGGTGAAAATCGTCACCAACTTGGACATGAAGACGATTGACCAGGCCTGACATCGGTTCGGCGTGTTGAACCGGTCAGAAGAGCGCACCTCTTTCCAAACCCACACCCCAGGCATGCCGACGCTCGCCAAGAGGGCCCAAACTCCACCACCCGCATGCATGCTCGCCGCGGTGACGCGCTGACGAGGCCACGCAGCGAGTTTTGAAGTTTGGCAGCTCAGACGATGAGGATCAGAGTGGATGCTTCTCCCCTTTCGGCAGGCGCTGGGATCAGAAGTGGGGGTGGAGTGGCCCCGCGAGCGAACAGGGGGACCAGAGAGTCGGATTAGGGCCTCGGGCGTGTTTCGGACAGCGACAGTGTTGTTTCATGGATGTGCCGAGCAGAGGGGCTGGAGAGGGTTGCAGAAAATGGCGGGTGTTGTAGATTGTTGTAGTGCCTGTGTCGAGTGGCACGGGAAGCGGTGTACCACAAGGGATTTGAGAGGCTAGAGATGCTCGACACATGTGCCATTCCCACTTGTATGGCTGCGAGGGTCCAGGGTCACAGGTGTTCAATATGATTGTATGGCTGCCATCGCACAGAAAGCACGTCTGGGTTTCACCACGGCAGACTTGTGATGACGGTATATATCTGACGGTATGTGAGTACTGAACTGTTCCTCCAAACTTAGCGAAGAAGAGACAGTAAAAAGAATTTGACATGTACCACAAGGATCCGGAGAGTCAATATGTTCTTAAAAACAACATTTTGTTTTTAAGAACATATTGACTCTCCGGATCCTTGGCCGAGAAAGGTCACAGAGGTCAAAAACATAAGAATGACACCCGAGAAAGGTCACAGAAGGAGAAACGTGGTTTCTGTCGGATTTGTCGAATATCCTGATGAAACGGAGTGGAGTTGTTGTGACAACAGAAGTTAGGACATATCCAAATGAAATGACCAATACAGGTGGAATAGTTGTCCTCCCACAACTGTCAGGTAGTTGCTAGTGGACATGCTGGTTGCTGCGATTCTACTTCAAGGCAAACCCATGCGCTTTTGGCCAGGCAGCGAAGATCCGGCGCCAGGTGCGGGGCTGTAGCAGGGGGTGGCCAGTCAAGGACTGCTCAATACATCTCCTCAACACGGGTCCTCAAGAATCCGGTCTCCATCCCACTCCCTCCAGTTATGCGTTTGAACCACTGTTCCCCCCATTGAAAAGAAACACTTGCAGACTGCAGACCCCGATTTTGGAGTACAGTGGCGGGGGTTGCTTATCATGCTGTTGAGCTCAGCATCTCAGCTGAGATTATTCTGCGCCGGGCACTTGCAATAGTCGGAAACTGACGGGGTCATGACAAACGCATGGAGTTTGAAGGCAACAAGGCTTGACGGTGATGAACAAATGTTCTTCACCCTAAAAGATTGAGGTTTACTGTGCCATACCGTGTCCTTGTCCTTTCTTTGTTGGTATTCAATTGGGTTCTGTTGTCACCCATGCTCCTACGGTCCTGAGAGATTTCAAAATCCCATGGATCAGCAGCTTGGTGATCATGATCAATCCATAGCAGGCTGTGAGCAGGTCAACTATAGTATCTCGTGAAATGGCTTGCGGCTTTGGCATGCATTGGCTTTTACAACATGCGCACGCCTTAAGACACCGGCCTTTCAGATCCTGTTGGCATTTCTTGCAGGATTTGACCCCTTAAGAGCGATGCGATACCATACCCATGGCCAATCTTGCTTCCTAGCCCATCAGCATCGCCTGGCTCCCGCTTGCAAACCCGTCGCAGGCTTGGCTGGTTAACACGTGGCTGACTCCCAGGCCAACGTTGACACCATGTGCGTGTGCCCAGCCATGGACATATGATAACCTGACTGTCATTTGGTGGGATACTCGCAGGTTCCTTTTCCACCGACACGAGCAACGCGCTTGTGCTTGCGCTTTGAGAGATGTTTGAGTCTCACCCGACAGGGCTTAGTTTGAGCTGTGGAACCGGTGGGCTTTGGGAAGACCTGCCTGTGGCTCATTTTGACACAGTCGTTGTCCTGGGTACGGGATATTTAGCTTTCTCGGTGTGAGAGGTGTGTTGGGGTTGGTTTAGGGAAAGGGCAAGTGTGGGGTGGAGTCGGGCGGGGCGGTCTGGTGACTCTGGTGCTTGGTGTTGGACTTAGCACTGAGCCCAACATCCTAAAACTATCAGGAATTTCAGGCTCCTTCCGCAAGACTTACCCGGCTTTTCCACAACCCACTCAAGTGTGCATTCAAATTCAAGTGCCCCGATTGAATCTTTGACCCATCAACGGGTACATCGGGGTCAAAGTCAAACACCTCAAAGCTGGCCCTTCTGTTTGTTTTCACCTCGCGCATATCCAGTTTTCTCACGTGTTTTCAGTTAACCTAACTTCACTCTCGTGCCGACTCGTGCCTCCCTCAGGTCCTTGTCGCCTCGCTCTCCTTCATCCTGAAGGGGGGCCCTGATGTTCTCCGATGGACCGGGACGAAGCACCGGAGCGACGTGTCTCCCACGGGAGCGTTTCACATCTTGTCCCACAAGCCACGGCTGGAGTGGTCGCAAATCCTTGTCGCGTCCTAGAGCTTAATGAAGAGATATAATTAGACAATCTCAAGTTAAAAAATGAACAACTATAGGGATAGACATTTACGGTAACATAACATACCACAAAACATCACAAAACAATAAAATCGATGAGATTGAGATACTGTTCCAGTGGATGTGAATAATCAGACAATCCTGCAGCCGTGGCAGTTTCGTCGTAGTTGATGCCGGAGGAGTCCTTAGGCCCTGTGCCAGAGCATTCGGGCAGATTGGATTTAGCATAACCTGGCTTTGCATCCAAAAGTTAGCCCCTTAGCTTCTCCAAATGGATGTTTCAGGTCTACAAGATGTCACATGGATTTCACGAGTCTCATTTTGCTCCAAAAGCTGCTATGAGACTCTGCCGGCATTCAATCATTCTTATTTGGCTGGCGGGCGGGCAGGCGCCGCACGTTCGTTTCGCGTTCTCCGAGCGAGTTTGAGTCTCGATCGCGGGCTTTGAGCCCAGGAGATTCTGCTCGAGCAAGCTGCGATTTCAATCTGCCAAACACTGGAGTTGTGGCCCGGGGAATCACATAGGTCGGACTACCACCAATTAAGGGCGCATTGATGTGGAGAAAGTCACTACCAAAGTCATCTCTATAGGTCTACAGTAACAATCATGTCCAGAAAATGGTTTCACCTTCTCACACACAAGAAGTTGGTCGGTCAGTGATGACCGCTTGCTTTAGGCTGTGTTGAAATCTATATGGGACACCTACTATTTCGTTTCATTCCCGTGGTAGTCCAAGACCTTTTGCTCTTCCAGTTCCCTCCAAACAGGCAGGCGTCCATCAGATCAGAGGAGTCAGTTCTTGCCACAAAACGGACGTCCAAACGGCTTGCGAAGGAACTCCCATGGTGCCAATCGAGTGGTGTGAATGATGTATTATGACATACACATGTATGACTTTTTGGGGAGGCTCATGGAGGCTCACGGCTCACGGCTAGTTCCACATCCATGTCCTTCCTTCCGCCATCTGAAGATCTCCATCCCTTTCCGAGGGAACCGGAAGACCCGGGTCCGAACCCCGCGAACCGCGCCCGCACGCACCGTGGCAACAAACCACAGAGCGATTTCCCCGTCCCGGCGGAGCCGAGATGGAGGTGTTTGGCCGAAGGGCTGGGGGGGCGGAAGCCTGACAAATGCGGGCATGAGCTGATGTTGAAGGGGGTGATTGGCAGAAATTGGTGCCCATGCTGGGTTTTTAGAAGGCTGAAATCCAGTTCTGAAGGTTCTAGCTTTCGGGAGGCCCACAGGAACCAAGCAGCCTCACCTTGACGACCTTGGCGAGTCACCTATCGCCAGTGGAGTGAGGGGCTCACCACCTACCCTCGAGCCACCAGCAGTACACCACAAAGGTTGCAAACGAGTCCCACACCAGTTGGAGCCGTTTCTTTTTTGCCACATCACTACTCCTCAAAGCTTTGTACACGATGAACTACGCGTGCCAATTCTGGCCAACACACGAGTCCAAGTTCGGCACCTTGGATAAACCCACCAACTCCTTGCATTTGAACTGGGAAATCCCAAAGTCAATCAGCAAAACCAACAACGCAACCTGCTTGAAGTCATGTGTAGGGTCTGTCCTATTACCTGTAAACCATCATCATCCACTGTTACAGGTAATAGGATAGACCCAAGTCATGTGTGTGTACCCTTGTCACCATTTTCAGTGCGGTGTTCTCCCAGCCTCCGCATTCGCGCCGCATCACACCGATCAAACCATCGGTGCATCCAGGGCCTTTTCGGGACCCTTGACGGTTCGCACGATGCGGCGGGAAAAGAGATGCGAAGGTGCAATGCTTTCAGGGGCATAACTTCCCTGCAGATGCACATGGAACCCCCAAACCACCTAACATTGGTGGAGGAACACATCGGAAAACCACTCGTCCAGCGGGCCAGTGGCGGCCAGTGTCAGGGTCGAACGTAACGAAGCGAGCGAAGAGTCTGCCAGGGCGTTTGCCGTGTTTTTTGCACGGCCTGCGCCGGTCATGTAAGAGGCCCCACCAGCACCAGTGACATGGCCTCCTCCTAGTGAAAAGCTGCTTTTTGAGGTCTTACCATGTTTTGGTTCATGGCAAGTAGCCCCATCAGCTCTAAGAGTCAGGGATGCTTGGAATGAGTTCAAGCGATATGCTGGGTTTCATGATTTGACCAGTGTTCCCTTCATGGAGCAAACAGAAAGAACGAAGAAAGAACTCAATGGGGTATTCTTTGTTGCCAGATTTGGTTCTACAAGTTTGTTTGGGGTACGGCGTTATGGATGCTGTCAGTGGGGTACGCTGTTGAGAGACCAATTCCAGCCGGAATTGACACAGGACAATGGGTGAAAAGGAGTGTGAAAAGGATATTCCGGGTCCAAAGGTCCTGCAGGACGCTGTTTCGTCAGTAGTTCTTGGTTAGGCCATTTTTCCCAGTTTCGTTGTGCCGCTGTGCCCTTTGCATCATACACAGCGGAGTGAGTTCACTCACGGTGTGATTGCATGCAGCCATCCGAGCCCAAAGCATGACGTGAATGCTGAGCTGCCAGCTATGCCCACTGGATTTGTGAAGATGCTGGGCACCAGACACAGCCTGGAGGATCATTCTCTGTAGAACAAATGCCCCACATCCAACAAACATGGAAGTGGACCGCTGTGCCAACAGGGGTTCTCCACTTTCATGTTTGTTGGAGAGAAGGTAGGTTTGTGGCTGGTTTGTGGCACCACAGGCATGGTCCTGCACCTGAAGATCTTCCCAACAAGTTGATGAAGACCTCAAACATGAGCCTACAGCCCACACTTGGTGGACTTGCCGTGGTGGGGGTGCTTACTATTTTGGGTCATCAAATCATCAAAGCTTGAACCGGTGAAGGGAAAGGAGGCCTAAAGATGGAGCCTCTGGGTTTGCCATGCCCAAACAGAAACCGATCCTCCATATAGCAATGTACGAATAAAACCATAAATCGGAAGTTCCTCGCCGCTGTCATGCGCCCTGACATCCGCATTGACGATTGACCTTCTCGCTGTAAACATATGACCAGAGACACCGAACACCATTTAACAAGACGGGTACGAGGCTGTTCCTCAGTTCGCCCTCCTTCTCACGCTCAGGAAGCTCTTGAAAGAGAAAGGCTTCGGATTCCTCAGACCCGATGACGGGGGCGCCGACTTGTTCGCCCCCTTGCGCACCTTCGCGGGAGATGAGGAGCGCGCGGCTTCTATCCCCGGACGTGGAGTGACTGGCGGGGTGGGAAGGATGAGGGAAGGGAGGAGAAGGCGCAATCTGGTGAGCGGTGACCGGTGAGGATGGGCGAATTCTTCAATTGGATGTTGAGGGGAGCACTTGCACAACATCATGTGGATGGTTTCTGACTTTTTCACATCAAAAGACCGACTTACTCATCATTCCTCACGCTCCAATTGCCTTGAAGTGATGTCAAATCAGTCCTCACGAACCTCGGTCAGTGTAAGTGCATCCTGACTAGGAAGTCTGTAGCCTGGTACCGCATGGTATCTGACAGCTTTCTTGCAGCAACCGTTTTTTTCCTGAATGTAGCCAGGGTATCCAGGGTGGAAAACGGCCAAAGACGGCACCATGCTCCAGTTATGAGGCTTTGCTTTGATGCAGCCGTGTTTGCGCCACCCTGCATCAGCATCGGTTACCGGTTGGACCCAGCTACTTAACAGCAACTTCAAACAACAAGATAAAACACTTCCTACATTTTCCTACCTCCAACAAGGGCGCCGACCAGCATGCTTTGCTGAGATGGACGTGTTGTTTCTCAAATCCATCTTTGCAAGGACCCACCAGGAGTAGCAAGCACTTGACGTTACCAACCTTGCCGTCAAGACCCCCCTCGGGAGCACAGCGTGATGCCTTTGTTTGACGATTGAATATAATTGAATGAATTGAATGATTGGTCCCTGATTGGCACACTCAATTTGCTACTCAATTGACCATGAACATGTTTTTGGGATTTCCTATCAACTTGCAGGTGAACATATTCATGGAAATCCCACTCCAAGACTTCCGGCGCAGCTCGCTGCCTCCAGGACACCCTGCAGGAAGGTGATCGCGTCACCTTCGAGGCCGGGGCGGACCAGGTCCTAATGGGCCGAAGGATGGGCTGAGGTGGGACATAGCGGACCGTTGGGGGCTGGGAGTGGGTCACCAAGTTTGGAGGACCCCTTTGGAGGGTTCGGAGCTGCAAAGGTCAGTCTGCGGACTGCAGACTGCTGGTCGTCGAGAAGGACATGAAGGCATTGCAAAATTTGGGGCGGCCATTGGCGGCCTCCGTGATTAAAGATAACTCATGAATTCTTTCGATCAAGCACCATCTCCTCTTTGCCTCATGCCAAGCCATGCCAAACCATCAAAAGGAGAAGTCTATTGCTGCCATTGGGGGAGAGATTCGGTCCGTCTTCCCAACTGTCCCGCTCCACTTCCGGCGTTTCGGTTCTTCTTCGCTCAATCCGGACCCCTCCGAGAGAACGGGCCGCTGGGATGCCCCGGGTATTCCGGAGCTACGTTCGCCCACCCAGGTTCCTCGCAGACCGCCGCTTTCCGCGCGCTGCTTCTTCTCACCGCCCGCCCTGGGAGACCCGCTGACCGCCCCGCCCTCGGCAGGTGGAAATGGAGGAGCGCAGTGGAAAGCCGAAGGCCGCCAGCTGGAGCGTGACCTCGGTCGCCCGGATCCGAAGGAAGCCGCCGCGCCCCCCCGCGCGGAGTCTGGGCTTTCCGGGGGGGGGGTTGGTGGAACGAGCACCGGTCAAGTGCCGTGCTGAAAGAGGTGCCGGAAAGGCTGGGAGGTCGGTGGGCGCGCTGAAATGGAAGCACCGTAGCCCAGTCTGTAGGTGTTCATAGACTTTAAGGTTGCAATAGGTGGGTTCACTCTACTGCCACCTTTGGCCCATCCATACAAGCCAAATGCATCCTTTGATGAAGCAGCTCCTGGTAAGTTTGGGTTTCTTTGGCGGAGTGCCTCTAAACCGTTTGCAATTGTTTTTCGCACTCAGCTACATGCAACCGAAAATCCAGGAAAGTTCAAGCTTGCTTTCCTCTTGGTAGCTTTGGGATCCTGGGTTCGCCGCCCCAGATCAACAAAGCAGAAAACCCAATGTTTGTCAGAATATTCTTGTTGTATAAGTATTATGATTCGTCATGTTCTTTGTCCTTTTCTGTACTGGACGTCATTGGATGTACTCATGTTCTTCCCAAAAAACAAGGGCCTGGTCTCAGCAAGGAGATGTCTCCCCGGCTCCAAGGTGGGTGCCGCAAGCCTTCTGACCCTACCAGGAGCCGGGTGACGTCCGTGCGTCGGTGCACTTTGGGTGACGGAGAGTGCAGGGAGAGCGGTCTTCTGAGGTGAGTGACCCCTAGTGACCCTTGAGAGAATGCAACTTGCATGGCCTATCATGCGGCCTATCCATTTGCCTTTAAGTCCAACGAAGATTTCAGAGGCAGTGATAGCTTCATGGCCGATCTGACCTTGAGAATGTTGGCAAGCTTGCCAGTGTGCCAAAGCTTCATCCTAGGAACAGAGGGACAACAACAAAAGCCGTAATGACCATGAGAGAGACCACCGTAAGACCACCGTGATGTGACATACACCCGTGGATCTTGCCCCCTTCTTCCACACCTCTACCATTCGCGCTCCGCGGGGCCGGGTAGGAAATCCCTACGGCGCCTACGGCGTGGTGGTTGGCGGCTACGGGCCCACGCCGATCGTGACGAGCCTGGATCGGTGCCTTTAGCTTCGAAGAGCCTGGACGGGCGAGATGAGCTCGGATCTGGTTCGATGGGGTTCGAAACAAGAGACGAGCCTGGATCAGAGCCTCATGGATCAAGAAAGAATGAGAAAACATTGTTTTCCTTTGATATATGCTATATGATATAAAGGTGGAGAGGCTTGAAGACCGCCAAAGCACGTTCAGTTGGTTTGAGGAGAGTGCAGACCCTTCAGAAGCACCGAAGGGCGGTTTCCCCTTCTGAGAAACCCTTTTGGGTGATGCGGCAGTCCAAACCGTTTGGGTTTCTCTGTGAAGCTGTTGAAAACGAAACCATTCCAGGACCCTCCAAGGGGTGTCTATATATATATAATATTTATGTATATATATATATAGCCCCTTAGCTGTCCATTAATCACCCCGACTGGGGGTCCTGGTTTTGTTCTTCTATGTTTGTGAATGCGAGGTGCTTTCGGTGCCAAGTCACCAAGGCCGGAATACACACTGTGGATCTTGGTTTCATAAACCCGTTTCCCACATCGCTGTTCCTCGCTGCACCGCGCTACGCGCGGAGCAGAACCTCCGCTTCAGACGCTTCTAAGGTTCTCCCCCTATGCGGCGCTCGCAGGCCCGGTCGGTTGGGGCAGCGGAGGAGCTGCTTTCAGTTCGATGGCGCATTTTGGGGTCCAAAACCGTCAGGACCTACCATACCCCCACCAGCCCTCAGATTGTTCTTTCCATGGGTCGTGCTGTTACACATTGTTACACCATCCCTGGTAAAGAGCAGTCAGGGTGCACTAACCTCCACCCGCTGGGGATACTTGCAGTCATACCTGCCATACCACTGACAGGGGTTGCCCTCACTGTCCGCTCTCAAGGCGTGGCAGCTGGCACTGAAGGCGGGGATGTCCGGTGTGGTTGGTCCACCACCTCCCTGTTAGTGCACTACCTCTCCAAAGCTCCATCACAGGTGAAGTATTCATCCCATCATGTGTTCAACTGCACCAGCATCAATCTGGCCGCCTTGTTTTTAGGCGCAGCGACACAGCCAGCAGCCATACCACAGATTTCGGCACTGCTGAATCCTGGGCTGGCACTTCCAGGGCTCTTGCCAGGTGGGTCGGTGGGTCAGGCCGCAGGATGGGTTCCAGGGGAGCTCTGCAGGCTTCCCGCCTGAAGGCAACAGGATAGAAAGGCAGTGAGATGGTTTGAGTCTTAATCTTCAGTAATTTTGGACACCCTAATGTGTTGTGTTGTTTTTTCGAAAGGCATTGGGAGTGCAGGCTTAGGTAGGGGCTAGGGCCCTGAACAATTCAAGAGTTGATGAGGAGCCGGATGGCTCTGCACGACGGGATGGAGATGACCGAAGCAGTTGACATATTCACCACAGAGTCACTCTGGAAGATTTCCTTCAAAGAATTCAAGAGAGCCCACTGCATCCCTCAATTCATCATCCCTTCATCTTTTTTTCAGACCAGTTCTCACGCCTGTGCCTGGAGGAGTCGGTGGTGTGGCAACACTCCCACTATCTACCCTTGCCCCCGCAGTGGGCACAGCCCCAGCGGGGGATGCAGCGGCACTCACCGCACCGGCGGCGGCGCCGGTGGCGTTGCCCGCCGGCTGGGAGACCACGGTGGACCCCGCGAGTGGGAAGGTCTATTACTTCAATCGCGCCACCCAGGAATCCAGTTGGACTGTTCCAAGCGCCTAATGAATCATCTAAAATGCGTTGGCAAAAGGTCATCAAGGAACCTTATGTATATTATATCAAATGTGTTATGAAATTAACTTCTAGCTCATACAACTCATACCTGTTCAATTATTCTTTTTTGGGCTTTTTTGCTTATGTGTATAATATATATATACACATATGTGTGTGTAACTTATACGTTGTACATGATTGGAGGGGTGTTTTTGTGTGTTTTGATCTCTGGAAACGCGGTATGTTTAAGTTTGATTTGCTTTTCACTTCAATTTCTTATTTCTGCAATATCCTCATAGCCAGTGCGCACAACTCTTGAGTTGCCAGCCTGCCAGATTGGTGTGTTTGGGACGGGACGCCTTCAGTGGAAGAGATGCGTATGATGTGAAGGGATTGGGGGCCTGCAATGTGATGAGAAGAAAGGCCTGCAAGAGCAAGAGGGATTGCCGATGTGGTGAAGAAAGGCTTCCTGCACAGCACAAGGCCTTGGAACATTCTTTTGGTCACAAGGCCCCCAAGATGGGGGGCGGCATTGGCAACCATCTCCCATTTTTGGCCATCCCCAGCCAGCACGGCCACACCTCACAATACAAGAGGTTAAAGATAGTATTAACGATATATCAATCAGGTTTTAATCATGTTAGTCTAAAAAGTGATGTTGAGGTACTATTAAGGTTTAACAGGTTCAATTAACTAGTTATTGAAATATAATCGTGAGCCGTCAAATCTCGACTATATAGCGCCCTTTCGAAATCGAGGAACAGACCGCGTTCGCTCATGTGGGTTATGAGCCCAACGAGGTTGCGTTGATGGTCGCCATGAGTAACCCTTCTGAAGATGGTGAAAAACCAGATCAAGCTTGATTTTAGAAGGAACCCCTGGAGTTCCTCAAAGTCCTTTCTGGTCTGAGAAGGCGAGGGATGAGGCAGCGCTGAGGGTTATGAGACCAGTGTCTCTGCCAATGCCAGCTTCGTTCCCGGAACGAATGTGGAATGCTGTGGCTTCTTGGGCATCGGCACCGGGTCTACTTCGTAAGGACTGAGGAAATTAAGATGTGGGGCTTCTGGTGACACTATTTATGGAGGAGAATGCAAAGCTTCAAAGAGAGAGGGGTAAACGCTAGATTGCGGTAGGCATTACCTATAAAGGTCTGGCTAAGGCCCCAAACAATTTATTGTTGGGGTTCTCTCTTAGGAAAAAAGAAGTTGGCCACTGTCTGGCCGCGCAGGTGAACCCTGTGTTTTTTCTTGTCCTCTTTTTGTCCCGTTCTTGTCATTTTATTGACACTAGCTTGGCCACGGCTGCTAGCCAATCTCCAGACCTTATTTTCAGTTATTCTTTTGGTTGGATCCTTAATTTTTAATCCTTTTGTCCTCTTCTCCTCTTCTTGTCCTCCCGCAGTACTGTAGCATGGCCACGTGTCTTCTCCTTGTCCTTTTCGTGCAATTCTCTCATAGGAAAAATAAGTTGGCCACAGTGTTGGGCCGCGCTAACGAGCCCTATCCGGATGTCCTTTTCCTCTTGTCCCAATCTTTTCGGCCTTGTTTTGTTGATGTTCTGCTGTCTTATTCGTTTAGGTCTAGGTGTTCATTGGCCGTGGTTGGTAGCTGAGGGCCGGCTTGCCCGGGCCCAACAGCCACGGGCCACCGGCTCTAGAGGCATGGTGTGTTGTCATATAGCAAAGGCTTAAAGCGGAGGCCTGCCGTGGCGTGGCTGCCGTGGCTGCGATTATAGTGGTTTGTCGTGGCCGTATATTGAAATAATCGTAGGCGATGGTAATTTTGCGATTACCCATTCTTATTTTGATGAGAAGTTCCGTGGCATTGCCATGGTTATGAGTATTGTAATTGTTTTCTCCTTCTATGTCAGTTTTCGGTGGCTTCTTGGGTCCGTGTTTTTACACAATCGTAGGTATTGATGGTTTTATTATGGCGCGTTGGTCTGCAGATGGACAAATGCGTGAAATTGCAATGATTATAATTGCTATTTTATTGAATTTTTATTATACAAATATAATATATAACACAAATTTAAAGACATTAATATTTGATATTATTTTCGGTTAAGAAATATATTTTCGTAGAATAATGATTTAGATATTATTCATTATAAACATAATAAATTTTATGATTGATATTTGCGAATTTATTGTATTATAGAAAAAAATATAAATATATAATTTATTTTATTCGATTGGAAATGTTATTAATAAGAAAGATAAATAATGAATTTAATAATATTTTTAGGATGCATGGAGTTAATTGGCCATATGGATTTATATAGGTTATATATTATTGATAATTTAATGTATATTGATGAAATTCGATTTGAATTAATATATATATATTTGTTTATTATAATTATATATTATAAATATATATATTTAATAATAATAATTGGGAGGAATTTATTTATTTTATGTAATTTTTTAATATATTTTTATTTTTTTTTAATTTCGAAATTATATTATATCGATTTTTTGCTAAAATTTGGTTATTTTTGTAAATCGCAAATTATTTGATCCTTAAATTTTATAAATTTTGTATTTTAGCTCTTACTATGACTATCCTACGATTGTAGGTGTGTATTCTGATCCTAAAATTTTTTATTCCGATCCCGTAAATATTTAATTTTGATTCCGTTTTGTTGGAAATCTCTCATTCTAGCCCCGGGCGAATCTTTAATATAACCTCCCATTCTAATCCGTTGCAACGATTAAAGGGAAGGTTTCAAAGGCAACAGGGTCAAGATGAAAGATATATTGGTGAAAAGATAAATTTGAAAGATTTGGGGAGGGAAAGCAATAGAATACGATTAATAAAGATTATTTTCCCAACAATAGACGGGTCAAAAAAAGATGTTTTTCACAACAGACGGATCCAAATGAAAGGTATGGGAGGGGGGAAATCCAATGGTATTAATGAAAATTGCTTTAGAATATTATTTTCATAATAACCAGGGTCACAAGGCATGGGTTTCATCACAGATGGGATCCAAAAGGAAGATTTCCAAGATAACATAATGATTATTACGATTTGAATATTATAATTGAAATTACAAAATAAATTATTGATTTTATTGATATTTATTGTAATTGAATTTTCTTTTAATTTTTATAAATAGATAAAATTTTGATATATATAAGAATAAATAAATATGAATTTATATATAGAATAATTTAATTAGAATTAATATTCATTTAATATTTAATATAATTAAATATATAAACAACATATATAATAATGATTTATTATATTTATTAATATATATAATTTTCTTTAATATAGTTTAGATATATATTTAAAGATATATTTTAATTATCAATGTATATAAAATAATTCTATATATATAATATATTAGGAATATATAATTGAAATTATAGATCTTCTTAAATGGTAATAATGATAATAATATAATCCATATATAATCGAAATATATATAAATGAATATTCTATCGATTAATGGATCGATTATCGAATAAATATTACCATATTTATATAATTGGAATAATATATTTTATTGCATAAATATTATTTGGCAACCGATAATATATATATATTATATTAGTTATATTTTAATTAAGATATATAAAGGAAAATAATATATTTTCGAATATTAAGCATGAAATTATAGGATATTAATAGAAATATTTAATTTAATTAATTTACGTAATTTATGATATATATTTATTTAATATTAAATATAATATATTGCTATAAAACATATATTAATATGGGAAAATTAGATCAATTCATATATTTACAAGAAATCTATAATTTGAATAACACAAAATTATTTATGAATTCAAAAATTATGATATATTTTACGTTCTTTTCATATATATATATATATTGAAATTCGTGTATTCTGATTATATTCCTTAGGGTTATTGGGATTCATTTTCTTATTTTCAAAAATCTTTTATATGGTGATAAATGATAACATGCAATTATGTCCAAAAAATGAAAATATCTTTGTGAATTGAAGGGTATATCTATTCCAAGGAAATGGCGTCCGTTGTTCTCTCAAGAAATTTGGAATTATTCAATTCGATTAGATTCCTTTTTATTGAAGAAAAATATCATATAACAAATTTAATCTATCCGCAAATACCCATCAAATATACATCTTTACCGGTCCAATACACACCTTTTGCCGCCCTATATATTTTTTCCATCTAATACACATCTTTCCCTGTCCACTACCCTACAATTACAAGGTTTTGAACCTGTGGTGGGACATAGAATGAATTCAAGAATTGCAAGCCCCAGAGTGCTAGACCGGATCTATATCAAAAAGTTGGAAGCACTGGCTCCGACGCAAATGACAAATAGGGCCTTTTTATATATTTCAAGACAAGATTATATTCCCAGAAACATATATTTTTGTCTTCACATTTTGGAATATATAGAAAAATGATCCAAAATCAAAGGCAATTTTTACGAATGAATAATAATATATATATTTCTTTCCGAATTTCCATTGATATCATTCCAATCGTTGAATATCGGCATTCAAACATGTATTTTGAATATTATTTTCATTTACCACAAAATACGTCTCCTTGGATCAAGATTTGATTGCCTACAATTTCGATCATCCAAATATTCCTTGCAATATATTTTACCCTTGGATCCAGAATATCGTTTCAATTATCATATCACATTTACGTCCTAGGGAATCCATCTATTAATATTGCTTTATATTTATTCAAAAACATTTAGAGATTTTGCATGTTTACCTTGATGGAAAATATTCTTCTTATCTATTAGGCATACCGCTCTGATGAACGTCCGGGCATGATCCCTGATATCATCCTATTTCATGCTTTTGATAGAAATTGATATCTTTTAATCTAAAAATTCCTTCTTTGCAAGAATTTCGCCCGACGATCAAAACTTTCAGGACCTCAAAAATACATACATATAGAGATCATGATGGCAAATACATACGCCTCGAGGATATCAATTATTCGAATCGACGACATATTCACGATTGCACTGTCATCATCGAAGATGCCATTAAATACAAA